TAATTGTTTAGGCTCAGTCAATCTCAAGTTTTCATTCAGTAACTGAGGAAATGGCCTAGAATAACATCCACATTGAACAACTGCAGAGCAAAATTTCAAAGAAGCTGACAAAACATGAATTGAGTGCAATCTAGTAGAACCTGCTAAAATGTATTACAACTCATTGTAGTTATGTGTGGAACAGAAAAAGCCTTAAGAGGAAAGATTTATATAGTCATGCATTTGTCCATTTTCATATATTAAACGTATTTGTTTCATTTCATCCATGGTCGGTCATTCACTGTATTACTCACCAGCAAGTATTCTGTGGAAAACATGTGAAAATTTATCATCTGTTATTAAACCAGCAATGCCAATAGTAAACATCATTGACTTTCATGGACTTAACATCATTCATTAGTTTCATGAATTTCTGTTAGAAATAGAATCTGGGTATCTTAACTTGCCCTATTATACAGCAGTTTAATAGTTTAGCAGTAATAAAGTACAACTGTGATTTTGTTGTTGTTGAACACATACACACCACTGGCGGAGAGGGAGATCATCCTAATACGCTTCATGTCCAGTATAGAGCCTGATGTGGGGCTCAATCTCATGACCTTGAGATCATGAACTGAGCCCAAATCAAGAGTTGCACACTCAACCAACTGAGCCACCCAGGTGTCTCAGTTTATCTCTCACTTCTAAAAAGTTTATGTATTTATTTTCAAAGAGAGAGTGAGAGAGCATAAGCGTGAGTGGGATGGGGCAGAGAGAAAGGGAGAGAGAATCCCAAACAGGCTAAGCACTGTTAGCACAGAGCCTCAAGTGGGGTTTGATCCCATGAACAATGAGATCAGGACCTGAGCCTAAATCAAGAGTCAGACATTACCAACTGAGCTACTTAGGCACCCAATATAATTCTGATTTTTAAACTACAGGGTTGAGAATGAAACTTCTTCTGAACAAGAAGAAAGATCCTCAACTAGTGTTACCAAACACTGAAAGGTTTAGAAATTTAGGTTTTGCTGCAGACTTGACGCTTCTTAATAAATTCAGCCTGTAATCCTAAGGCAAAAGATTACTTTAAATGAAAAATGCTGCAGTGGAGTCATTTAGATGCTAACACGTTTTAATTCACAAGAAATGTCAAGCATTATACATTTCCCACTCCAATCAAAATTAAAAAGTGATTTCCATCTCTATACAAATTTACAGCTGACATACTTTCCAAACCGTAAATGTAGTTGCTGTATAATTTTCAAACCCTGATGTAAATGCAAAGAAGATTTCACTATTTCAGAATGCATTTAACTGTGCAACTGAGAAACTTCCATCCTGACCTTTTGTATTTTTTTTTTAATGTTTATTTACTTATTTTATAGAGAGCAAGTGAGCGAACGTGCACAAGCAGGGGAGGAGCAGAGAGAGAGACACACACACAGAATCCGAAGCAGGCTCCAGGCTTTGAACTGTCAGCACAGAGCCTGATGCAGGACTCAAACTCACAAACCGGGAGATCATCCCCTGAGGCGAAGTCGGATGCTTAACCAACTGAACCACACAGATGCCCCCATCCAGCCTAAATTTCAAAGGGGATTAATCGGTAATATAAGGACATGCTAAAAATAAAAAGTTAAAGAATACTGACACAAGGATGGAGAATTCTATAAATTTCTTTCATGAAATAAGATAAGCAGCAGTACCTGTTTGTGGAAAAACCATGTCAAAGATAAAATATACAAAATTCTATTTTATTAAATTTTTTTCAATGTTTATTTTTGTGAGACAGAAAGAGAGAGAGAGAGAGAGAGAGAGAAAGAGCATGCACATGAGCAGGGTGGGGAGAGAGAGAAGGAGACACAAATTTGAAGCAGGCTTCTGAGCTATCAGCACAGACCCTGACTGGGGCTCGAACTCATGCACTGTGACATCATGAACTGAATGGAAGGCAGATTCTTAACCAACTGAGCCACCCAGGCAATGCTACAAAATTTATATTTTAAAGCCCAACAATAACAAATGAGTGTTTACAACTATTTTAAAGATAGTGAATACAAATTTTCAGCCCTTTCCTGGAATAGTCATACCCCACCATAAAAAATTACATTAATTCTCATTAGGAAACATGTATTATAAAAAAACTGCACTTATTATTTTTATAGGAAGAATGTTACTAATACAAAGTTTGTGAAAAAAAATTTTTCACTCTAATTATGTAAATTCCTACATAATTTTTTTTCCAATGTTTATTTATCATGCCTGTTGGTTGACAAAACCTAGACTATTTACTATCTGGCCATTTATAAAAAAAGTTTTCCTATCTCTTTGCTAAAGATATTACTGGAGAAACTGGTGCCATCTTAACTGGGGTCAGTCAAATATATGGCAGAATATGTCAATGTTAATTTTCTGATTTAGATGTTACATAGGAGAATGCCCTCATTTGAAGGAAACATGGCTTACTGTTTTGGGATACAATAAAAACATCCTGCCAACAAATAACTGTGATATGGTTTAAGAAATAAAAAGTTCTTGGGGCGCCTGGATGGCGCAGTCGGTTAAGCGTCCGACTTCAGCCAGGTCACGATCTCACGGTCCGTGAGTTCGAGCCCCGCGTTGGGCTCTGGGCTGATGGCTCAGAGCCTGGAGCCTGTTTCCGATTCTGTGTCTCCCTCTCTCTCTGCCCCTCCCCTGCTCATGCTGTCTATCTGTGTCCCAAAAATAAATAAAAAACGTTGAAAAAAAATTAAAAAAAAAAAAAAGAAATAAAAAGTTCTTTGTATTATACTATCCATTTTTTTATTTTTGCAATTACCTCAGTAAATAATACACACATGATTTTGTAGAACATAAAGTTTAGGTGATCATATATAGCAGAAACTCTGTAAAATGTTCATAAAATAAAACAGAAAGCTATGAAGAAGCAGTAGAAAAAAATAACATTAAAATGCTACAGAAAGCTAAAAAGAAAAGGCCCCAAAAGAAAACCACAAGATTGAGTAACAGAGGCAAAATTGTTAAGGGATTTAACAACATCCTAACACAAATATATAATAGTATATTCTAAAGTAAAGGAAAAAAAAAAAAAGAAAAATTTTTCAAAAGCACAAATAAAGCCATGAGGAAACAAAAGGAAAAAAATAACCTTTTTACCAATAAGGTCCACTGAACCTTCATCAATAGCACACACACACACAAATCTACCCCAAGGCACTTCATCAACAGATTTCAGAATTTAAGGGTTTAAAAATATACGACATACAAACAGCTTCAGTTTTCCCACCAGCCAACACTCTTATGGCACTATAATGGAACATTCAATCAAAGACACTATGTTTAAAATATTGCTTGTAAAAAAAAAAACAAGAACAAAAAAATATGTAATACTGCAAGTAAGAGTTTAGTTGTATTCAGCTAAGTGATTAAAAAAAAAAAATCTACTCCCCATGGACCCCTTTATTAGAAGAATATGCATCAGCAAAAATGAGGACTGACTCAACAAAGGATTACAGCAGGATTCACAGTAAAAAAGTCTGTTATAAAGAGGTCCCAGAAAGGGATGCCTGAGTGGCTCCTCAGTTAAGTATCCAACTTCAGCTCAGGTCACAATCTCATAGTTTGAGTTTGAGCCCCCACATCAGGCTCTATGCTGACAGCTCAGGCTCTATGCTGAGGCTTTGGATTCTGTGTCTTCCTCTCTCTTTGCCACTCCCCCATTCATGCTCTGTTGCTCTCAAAAATAAACATTAAAAAAAGGGAGGGGGGGCCAGAAGAGTAAATGTATCAAAGAGAAGAACTACACTAACAGAAAAGGAGGAAACATCCCAAAAATGTAATACAATGAATTTGACCATGTGGAAAATTGTTTTACAATATTATTAAAGAGAATGTGAGAAACAATAATAAATGTCATATAAAATCAAATGAACAGAAGGGGACAATTTATTTTATTAAAGTTTATTTTGAGAGAAAAAGAATCTCAAGAAGGCTCTATCTGCACTACTAGTGCAGGGCTTGAACTCACGAACTGTGAGATCATGAATTGAGCTGAAATCAATAGTTGGTGCTTAACTGATTGAGCCATCCAGGCCACCCAAAGGGACATTTTTACATCTAGAATAAACAAGTGTGAGTAGCCTAGGAAATTAAAGTTTTTCATATACTGCTGAATCACTGTGTGGTACATGTACACTAAAATAACAATGTATAAACTGGAATTAAGAAAGAATTTAAAAAAAACAGGGGCACCTGACTGGCTCAGTCAGAAGAGCATGTATCTCTTGATCTTGGGAGTGTGACTGAGCCCCACATGCCAGAGATTACTTAAAACAACAAAAACAAACTTAAAAAATAATAAAATAAAAATATTTTAACAGTCTTGTTAAAACATAACATATTTTGAGTCCAATATACACCTACTTACATAGTTTTGAAAATGTAAATGATTGATACAAATTTAAGCAAAAAACATTAATGATCAAAAACGAATGGGAGTAAGAAATGTTTTTGTCTATACTGAAATCAGTATATAGTAACTGACATAAAAGTGATACGAAGACATTATTTAGAGGTAAACTGCATAACAATAAGAAGAGCTAAATGCTGAAAATGGTGATTTCTTTGAAAAGAAAATGGAAGGTGGCGATGGGTGCAGTACCAGATCATTGTTCTTCATTTTGGCCTTTGAAGAATCCTGATTTTCTAAATTGTGTGAATTAGTTTACTATGAATATTTTAAAATTATGCTAAATATTATTACTATTTTTTAAAGTAATCTCTAAATCCAATGTAGGGCTTGAACTCATGACTCTGAGATCAAGACTAAGCCAGCCAGGCACCTCCTATGTTAAATATTCTTATCTATCCATAAAAAATCTCTCAGTGACAATTTTGTGGGTAACACGTGATCCACATTATAAACTATACCAAAGTATATATCATAGGGAACAGAATCTACCATGTACTTGTCAACACTGAAGGGGAGAGCGTTGGCAGAAAAGGTCAGGCAATTTTCTTACCTGGTGGCATGAGTTTCATAAGTATTCTTGCTCCATCTCTAAGAGATGGCATATTGAGACTGCAACCTAAATCAGCAACTTGCCAGAGGAAAGCTATGTACCTGGGATGTAGTGACATTATCTGGAATACAGAAAACAAGAAGGTTTATGTATAAAATAAGTTTAAAAGGTTTTGTTATTCAGAATTAATCTCTTTATTGTCTCCAAGCAAGTTTTCTAACTGTCTTACATGAAATTACCTCCTTTCCCATTTTTTCACATTTACAAATCCAATGATTCCATGTTTGCATCCAGTTATGATGCAAACTTAGTAACTCATTAAGCTTTCTGAACTACCTGGTGTAATTTCTTTGCTTGTTCTACTGTTTTATAAAGCAGAAATTTTACATAGGACTCAGGTGCTGTTTTTACAAAAGGGACTTTGCCCCTTGAGGGGTTGCTGGTAAATCCGTAATCTCATTGTTGGCAATCTTAAATGACGCTTAACACTGAAGCAGCTGGTATTACTGCAGCTATAACAATTCTTTTTTTTTTTATTAAAAAAAAATTTTTTTTTCAACGTTTATTTATTTTTGGGACAAAGAGAGACAGAGCATGAACGGGGGAGGGGCAGAGAGAGAGAGGGAGACACAGAATCGGAAACAGGTTCCAGGCTCCGGACCATCAGCCCAGAGCCTGACGCAGGGCTCGAACTCACGGACCGTGAGATCGTGACCTGACTGAAGTCGGACGCTTAACCGACTGCGCCACCCAGGCGCCCTGCAGCTATAACAATTCTTAAAAGGTAGAGGGAAGAGAAAGTGTAAGAAATTGAACAGTTGTTGTTTCTTTAGGTATGAAAAATACTACTAAAAATTTGCTGAAGACAGATTATATATTTCCTTAAAAAGAGGTTCAAAGAAAAGATTGACAATATAGTAGTATTTTCGTAAGTAATAGTATACTCTAATCCAACTGTAATTGATTAATTCTACCCCAAAATAATACCGTATCTATGGAAAAAATTTTTTTAACGTTTATTTATTTTTGACAGAGAGAGACATGAGCATGAGCAGTGGAGGAACAGAAACAGAGGGAGACACAGAATCCAAAGCAGGCTCCAGGCTCTGAGCCATCAGCACAGAGCCCGACACAGGGCTTGAATTCAAAGACTGTGAGATCATGACCCGAGCTGAAGTCGGACGCTCAACAGACTGAACCACCCAGGCGCCCCTCTACGGAAAATTTTTATTTTAAATTCCAACAATTAAGAAATCCATCCAAAAGTTATAGTTAGCTGTATATATTTACTTGACATTTGACCCATCTATGAAACTTGTTTAATTCCTTAGAAAAAGGACCATTCCAAGAAACATGTAATATTTTGCATACACAGCTGACTCACCACGCCAGGCAAACAACTCTCCACTTCTGGATTGGGACCATCACTGTAGTGATTACAATGGTTGCCAGGAGATCCAGATGATGAATCAGAAGAACTATCAGGGCTTGAAGGCATGTTGGAACTTACTTGTGTAAGTTTAGCTGTAATTACCTAAAAAAGAGAATATATTAGTTGCAAAGACAAGGGAAAATACTTTTCCAAAATACATAAATTTGATATACCAAAAGACTACAAAATGTATCATGCTTTATTTTAGATACATACTAAAAAAGTACTGTACAAAATAACCATTTTAATAGGGTACTTTCTTCACTATCCTAGTGTCATGATACTTATCTTTTTCAGGGTTATAATCCAGAAACTTAACAGACAAGAGTTCACACAAAGTTCGTTAAACAATCACTGAATGAGTGAAAAATAGCCTGGATGTTTAATTCTTTGGGAATATTTGAAAGTTATATATGTATTGGGGAGCTTGGGTGGCTCAGCTGGTTAAGTATCCAACTGTTGGTTTAGGAACAGGTCATGATTTGGGAATTCAAGCCCTGTGTGAAGCTCTGTGCTCAGCATGGAGCCTGCTGGTATTATGTCTCCCTCTGTCTCCCTCTTCCCCACTCATGCTGTGTCTCTTAAAATAAATAAACTTTAAAAATTAAAAAAGAAAATTACATATGTACTTACTGATTTATCTTTTAAGTTTAATTGTCCTATCAGCTTTATGTCATCTTCGGAATCTATTATCTCACCACCCACAAAAAGTTCAATTTTTGTATGGGCTACATTTGCTTTAATACGGTTCAGAATACATCGTCGTACTGAACCAACTGTATCATTTGTATGAGACCATATGTCCAAGTCATCAACCTGTCTGCCATGGTTTGGAAATCGAACTATAAGAGAGAGGTGTTTACCACGGAATGCCCTAAAAAATTTTTAAAATAAAAAAAATTAAAAAAATGAACAATCATATTCAGCAATTACCAAGAACATGAAACTGGGATTTTAATATTTTCTTAAAAGAGGAAGACAGTTTTACTTTGTTTTGAGAATATTAAATATAACTTCTTTAAATTATAAACATTAAATTTTGGAACTACAATATAATTATATCCCACTGTGGCTAATCTTTGTTTCTATGGCTGCAAAATGAAAAATCTCTACTTTATGATAAAGAGATATCAGTTAATTTTAAGCTACAAGATCTCAATTCACTAAGAATATTTTCAAATGAAAACATACACAACTTGAAAGTATCAAAATAAAGTGCATGTTTCTATTACACATTTATAGAAATTCTTAAAAAGAAAAGTCACTCAAAAATATTTACCTTTCAGTATTCTCTTCTTATAGATGAGATACAAAACAAAAATTATATTCAAGAATCATTTTACATTTTTAACTTTAAAACTGATCACAATTAAAAACCAGACATTACCAGTTCTACAAACTTTACCCAAATCTAAAATTGCCATTTAAATGTTTTTTAATTAATTGAGCTTGTGTAGTTAATGATTATCTGATTTATACTGCGTAATACTGGAATTATTTATAATTTATGACTATACTAACATGATTTAGTAATTTTTTATTTTTTAGTACTTTCCAAATCTAAAGACAACTTGGCAAAGACCATTTAAAAATATTCTTGTTCATCATATCTATTAAATATGTATCTTTCAAGAATTTTATTTTTATTAGAGTAAGTGAATATTATCAACAAAATAAAATACACAGCTGGTATGAAATACCGTTCCCATTTAGTAAGTTATAATAGCTTAGAACTAAACCAATCAAGAAGAAAGGAAGGAAGGAAAGAAAAGGAATAGAAAAGAAAGAAATGAGGCAAAAAAAAAAAAAATTATAGTTAATGACTGATGATACGTAACGAAAATGAAACTCAGAACTTTCTACTTAAAAAACAAAAGAACTTGAGAATGCAAATAATGTTTTTAAAAGACAGGACACTGAAATCTAGAAATGGAAAAATTCTTTACAGCCCTTTTTACCTATATGTCATTACTTTCCTAATTCACTGGCTAGGAAAATAACAAATGACTACAAATTAACTACTAAATGAATTTCTTACAAACCTTGACATAGGTAGAATTGTTCTTTCCTCGTGATAATCACTGTCACATTCATTTATGTATTCCCTTAAAACAGTTAATACTCGAACCATTCGAATGGCTTCCTGTCTTGCACAATTAATACTGTCTTCATCACCATCCAAAACACACAACGTATCATATGACGCTTTCAAACGATCAAAGCAAGACTGGATGAAGTCTTCATGGATAACAACCTATAAATAACAGACCAATGAAAGACAATTTAAGTTGATTCACAATCAAATATGACAACAATTTAATAAAATAAAATAAAATAAAATTTCAACTTGTATCTAGTTATCAATCACATATTTACTCACTAATAATACACAAAAGAAAGCTGACAGTAAGAACACAAGCAATTAAACGAATTATTGAAAACAACCACAACAAAAAACCTTTAGGACTAAGTATCAAGTCAGTCAAATTTTTGGCTATCTCAACAATAATTAGCTTTATTCAAAATAATACTAACCACCTCAGGATAATTACCAAGCCAACACTCTTTGAGTTAGAATTTTTATAAGGAACAAATGTGGATCAAATACTTAAATATTTGGTAAGAGCTAAAAAAAAAATTAATTTCTAGTTTTAAATTTAAAAAGCTTCCTCTAAACAGAAGAATACTTTTGACTTAGCTCATGTGAAAGTTTTTATGCACTTTAAGCCTCACCTGATTGACCTGTAACCTGGGGCCAAGGTTTGTGTATATCTCTTTAAGGAGATCTATAGCTCTGTTGGCAATGTCATCATTACTCTGAATCACAACCTAGATCCAAAAATTAGAGTATTAGTAATATTCAAGAACTATTTTCTTTGGCACTTAACTAATGTAAAATTAAATAACCTAAAATGAAGGATTAATGATGCAAAATGTAGGTGCTCTGATAGTGCAATTATTTATATATACATACACACCTTCCTCCCCGTCTTCAGATAACATATATTTTAATCAGGATTATTTAACTCTGCAATTTGGTAGACAAGCTGTGAGATTTTCAAGGAGTGTTTCAGCTAGCATTATATAAATTTTCATTATGGTGGTTACTGATGTTTAAAACTGTTTAAAAACCTTTGATTTTAATTAAAAAACCCAGCAAATCTTAGTCTACATACAGTTTGCAAAAACTACAAGCAAGAACAAAAACTCAATATAACAAAAATATATGGAAGATGAAAAACATAACGATGTAACAGGTTAGATTTAAGATGACAATAAGATTTATTTACACTATCAAAATGGAAATGTTAACCTTAAATGAAAACAGTTAACATTTTCTCTTCCAGGTACTTAAACACATACAAAATTAAACAGTGTAAATAAAGGTATTAAAACACAATTCTTCTGTAAAAATAATTCTCCCTTCTCTCCATTATTCATTTTGAGACCTAACTTAAATAAGAGACAATAACTTTCATGAGGGAGGGATGAAATATGTGTAGGTAGACAATGGAACAGTACATTCATATATATCTCAGTCTAAGTTAAAACAGATTACCAGTGGCAAATGATAAAAGACAAAATTGAGGGGAAAAACCGCAAATCACTGGCAAACAAAAGTGATGTTAACAAGAAGGTAAAGATGAACAATCTCTCCCCCCAGATTTCTATGACAAACAGCAAAGCAGGATCAGTACATATAACTTACAAGTAAAATTCTGATTTCCATAAGTGTATTTAAAACAACCCCAGGTACAATAATTGTGAACAAGAGTTCCTACTTCTCACTTACCCTCCAGAGGTAGTCTAATCCTATTAGTTCCAAATCATCCATCATATAGGCTCTTCTTTTTGCTACTAGTTTCCCTTCACGACAATTAACTGCTTTGAAGAATCGTTCAAAACATCTCATTCCATTTTCAGTTAACAAGGAGGGATCAAGCTGAAGCACATTACTTTCAAAGAAGTCCTTATTAATATCAGGATCTAAGTCTGGTTCATCTCCCATTAACTTGGAATACCACTTAAAACAGGCTTCACGATCACAAAGGTAAACTGCATTCTCTGCTAAGCACTTCCATATCTGTTTTGCCTGAGGAGCACAGAGCCACAGTTGGCCATCCTTCAATAAAAATCTTGGAAAAATTAAAAAAAAAAAACAACAACAGTAATTAGGTCTATGTAATCCTCCAACACAATTTATTTCAATATGTCTTAAGTTGTATTTATCACAATTAGGTTTTAACTATAGCTTAAAGAGGTATTCTTTCAAAAGAACTTATTTCTTATATTGTATCTGGTAGTAAAAAAATAACATTCATTTATTTGATAAGCATATACTTATGATATTGTATGCACAGAATCTAGTTAATTCTATGACTATTAAAGTCACATCTATTAAAGTAGAATTATAATAAGATTGGTGGGTCTGCTTCAGGTAGTCTTTCTTCAGATTCTAGTTTCCTGTAGCTAGAAGTCTGCTCCATCTACTGTTTGCCCTTTCAGTGAATGACAGTGAATGAAAACAGAAGCTAACTTTAACCTAAATAATACTTTTTTTGCATTTAATTCTTAATTAACAAAACGATAGTGGCTTCATGTCCAATAGAATATGATATATTTATTTCCTGTCAGTAGGTTTCTTCTTTTGGGTATTAACTACATGTTTCCAGTATCTCCATAATTGTAGGACTGAATATGAAGAGGCCTTGTAGCTTTCAATCCTTATCTAATCCTTCACACCTTCATATATACATGAACATGGGATCCAGAATAATACAACACAAAAAATGCACTACTGTTTGTAGTAAAATGCAAAACTTTCAAAATATGGCCCCCAGGTAAGTTTGGTAAATTACTGGATGTTGCAGAAACAGCAGACATTTTAAAGTGAGATACACTAAATATTAGTAGTTCAGTTCTATCACACGCAGTTGTGTGATTTCAAACAAGTTACTTCCCCCAACTGAATCACAGTCTTATTTCAAACTGGAATAATGCTGCCTCACAGAGTTGCTATGAAGATTAAAAGGATTAGTGCAAATCCAAATATGCAGTAGGCATTAACTCTCAGTTCCTCTCTGACTTTAATGAATTGTACTAAGAATTTACAGAGCAAGAACTATACAAGGTCTCTAGATTCTAAACTTTATTAATAGAGTAAATAAATTCTACAACATTTTTTTTCTATTCCAATAGATCTAAGTGACACAGTACACTCATCAACAAAATGGCTTTTGGGAGAGTGTCTATATGGGGAGGCATGTTCTTTTTTTCCAGGCGATTGAAAAAGGGGAGTGCACTTTATTTTTTTTAATGTTTTTATATATTGTTGAGAGAGAGAGAGTGAGGGCACAGGGGAGAGGCAGAGAGAAAGAGGGACAGAGGACCTTAAGAAGGCTCTTGCACTAACAGCAGCAATCCCAATGTGGAGCTCGAACTCCATGAACTATGAAATCATGATATGCTCAACTGAATGAACCACCCAGGTGTGCTCCCCCAAAAGGCACTTTAAATAAATATTACATAATTTGAGAACTAGAATTCTTCTCAAGTTGAAGTGATATACACTTCTATCTGAAAAGATCAGATCAATTTGGTATATTATGAAATTATTAAATGTAGCCATGGGACGATCTGGAAACAGACTATGTATCAATCTAAATATTTCCTGATAAATCATTACATGGCTCAGTAACAGAAATACGGTATATAATAAATACCCCAAACAGAAAATCCCCCAAGATTAATACATCTGAAAATAACAAATGCAACAGACTTTATGAAAAACCAAGTCTCGTATTTTTTCTTACAGTATTTATCATTCAAATATGTTTTGCTAGGATGGAAACTGCATTCCTAAAAAATAGTCTCATTTATTTAAGCAATATATACATATCCACACACATACATGTCATTAAAAGCTAAACATTAATGAACAAATTCAGCCTAACACTACATTTTTAACTCTATGTGAATATATTACATAGAACTTTAGATTATTTTTATTAGCCATTGTTATTATAAACAAAGCACCAAAAGCCTATCAACAACACTGTCCCTTACTGCCCCAACAACATTAAGTCCCCTTGAGCTGCTTAGTGCCTTAAATTTTAAAGTATGAAAATGTGTAATGAATCAACTTTTATTTCTAACATAAAAGAATATAAACTGTATTCTGAAATTTAAAATGCATTTTCCTCAAAATTCAAAAAAAAGATAAAAGTTAAGGCTTAGCAAATAATTTTAAATATAATAATGAACACAGGAAACATCACATTAACTTTTGTTAATGCTTTTTATGTGGGGAAGTATTTAGCTGCAGGGTGGAATGGACACAGAAACAAAGGTATAATGAATATTAACATTACTGCATTTATGTTCTTAAAAGGAACAGTGCTATTTATTTAAAACCAACCTGAGGAAGTTAAGCCGTTCTTGGACTTCTTGAACGTGACTATACCTACTTCCAAGCCTCACAGTTTGTGGGTCATAGTCTTCATTGTCTGTAAGTTAACAACAATTAACACTGCATAATGTGTATGTATATCCAAATCAGCACTAACCTTAAAGAAATTATAAAGTCAATAATCACTTTATCATTATGATGCAACCTACAATAGTGATATTTACATATATCCAATGTTCCCCACAAAAATAAACATTTTTTTTTTAATGTTTATTTATTTCTGAGACAGGGAGAGACAGAGCATGAGTGGGGGAGGGGCAGAGGGGAAGGAAGACACAGAATCGGAAGCAGGCTCCAGGCTCCGAGCTGTCAGCAGAGTCTGACACGGGGCTCAAACTCACAGACCACGAGATCATGACCTGAGATTAAGTCAGACACTCAACTGACTGAGCCACCCAGGTGCCCCACAAAAATAAACATTTTAGACAGCCTAAAGGAAAATACAATCTGTTAAATATGCAATTAAAACTTTAGCACAACTCCCTATTTCACTCTTCATATATACTGAAGCAATTTGTGAATACAGGTTATGATTTTTTTTGTCTTAATTTTTTTAATACTAAAACTACCTTACAAGGAATAGTATGTTTGCATAAAAAATATTATTAAGAGCACTTCATACAGAAATACTAGGGTGACACAGAAGTTACTGTATTTGATACTTATCAAAGTATACCATCACCAGATTATGAATGTTTGTCTCATATTAAAAAAAGACCTACCCTCACAATATTATGAAAACAATTAGTAATGAGGTCTAGCCTCAGTGGGAAAATCCTATATTTTAAAACTTTTCTTGTTGATTTTTCAACTTTTTTTTTTTTTTTTTTTTTTTTTTTTTGGGACAGAGAGAGACAGAGCATGAACGGGCGAGGGGCAGAGAGAGAGGGAGACACAGAATCGGAAACAGGCTCCAGGCTCTGAGCCATCAGCCCAGAGCCTGACGCGGGGCTCGGGCTCGAACTCACGGACCGCGAGATCGTGACCTGGCTGAAGTCGGACGCTTAACCGACTGCGCCACCCAGGCGCCCCTTCTTGTTGATTTTTGTTGTTGTTGTTGAGAGAGCGCACAGAGAGACTCTAAAAGCAGGTTCCTTGCCCAGTGTTGAGCCCAACATGGGACCCAATCCTACTATCCTGGGATCATGATCTGAGCCAAAATCCAGACTCCCATGTTTAACTGAGCAAGCCATCGAGGTGCTCAGGAGATCCTAAGTTTAAAACATAAAATTAGTAAGCACTATGGACTTCCTTTATTAACATACATGCTGCGTGAAAAATCCTTAGTCAATGACAACGCAAAGTAAAAAATTAAAAATAAACATCGTAAAAATGGTATGTATACTGTTATGTGTACGTATGGGATGTTTATTTTTAAAAAGCAGAAGACAATGAGAATTTAGACCTACACTGTAACAGCCTGTCTTAAAAAAAAAAAATCTTATGAGATTATCTAAGTATCAGGCAAAAAAACTTCACAAAAGAATTAGAAGTTTTGGATAACTCCTCTGCATGGAAATGACCAAGTTGGTTTGTGGGTGGAACAAAGGGGTAATAAGTAAATGCCTCCAACAGCTCAGCCACACAGGAATCATTTCAAAATTTTGAGGCAAGTTATAGAGGATTTAGAAATTATACAATTCTTTTTTAGTAAAATGTTCTGACATTTATCAGTTATATAGCTTTAGAACTTGATCAGGTCATTTGGGTTATCATCTAATCCTTTTAAATTGGTGAAGGCAACCCAAGTTTTCCAAATGCCAAGATTTTTCCATATCAGAAAAACTGCAATTGGATGTAAAATTTGACTTGCTTTATAAAGATAAATCATCTAGAATATTTAGCAATGTTATCTGGATTTGAGTTCTGTAAAGACAGGAGACTATCATATTATGACTTTTTTGTACTTTTCATTTGAGTGAGCAACTGCCAGCAATTTTAGCACTTCTTTAAAGTGTCATCAGTTACATCAAACCATAGGTTTACAAAATGCTAAAAAAAAATTTTCCTACTACATGTAAGTTTTCTAGTTTTTCAGGAAACTAAACTTGAAATATTATGACTAAAGTCTGGACTGCCATGTTAACTGCTTTTTTTAAATACCATAGACTTCTGTCTAAAAATGTGTGTGATTACTTCCCAGGATCAGCTGAGGGCCAGAGAGGACAGCTTTGTGTAACTTTCTTTTCTGATATAGTTTCAAAGTGCGAAACCAACATAAGAAATTGTTCTTTATCCAGATACACACAATTGTTTACATTTTATCCATTTCTTTTATCAGTATTTCCATTTATACATGTTGTATCAGTTTTATTAACCATCTGAAGGTAAACTGTACAGAAGTCCCTTTAGTCCTTAGCACCTGGGTGTCTTAGGTCGGTTAAGAGTCTGACTTGGGCTCAGGTCATGATCTCATGACCTTGAAGAGGTCAAGGCCCATATTGGGCTCTGCTGATAGCTGAGAGCCTGAAGCCTGCTTTGGATTCTGTGTCTTCCTCACTCTCTGCCCCTCCGCTGCTCATGCTCTGTCTCCCTCTTCTCAAAAACAAAGAAACATTAAAAAAAAAAAAAGTCATAAATGACAATATACTCATCTGATTTTTAGATTAATAAAAGAGTAGCATCTGACCCACAGCCTACATTTAAATTTCATCACATTAATATCCTACCCCCAGAATGATCTCCTTTTTTCCTAGTTCAGAATCAAGTTTGGATTCATACATCACGTAAAGTTGTTTCCTTAAGGCTACAGTTTCTTTAGTTCTTTTTTGTGTTTCTTACCTTGATCATTTTAAAGAATAAAAAGCTACTGGTCTAATGACACCTAATCTGGGTTCATGTTTCCTCTAGTAACATTCAGGTTATCCATTTTTAATTAAGAAATAACACAAAAGTAAAGCTGTATGTTTGACAAATACTGTTATCCGATACCATGTCAATTTGTCCCGATATTAATAATGTTTACTTAGATTACTTGGTTAAGGTGTTTCTACCAAGTTTTTCCACTGAAGGTTTACTTTCCTTTGTATTAATAATTTGTGGAATGATTCTCCGATACTATGTCATTATTGTGGTCCTCATCTAAATTTCACTTGCTAGTTTTTATCATCTACTATTTTTTCCTACATTTTAGTTGACATTCTCCTTCATTTATTAATATCATTGTGAACTCAAGCACTAACACACTGAAAATGTTGTGATCCAGAATATCATTTTAATGCTCCAAGTATTACAAATTTACCTAGTAAGAGATGACTTATCTTTTTCACATGCTATTGATTCTTTAAAAACACTTTACAAACACTTTGACACAATAATGTTCCAAAGTCTCATCCTGTACTTACTTTCCTGCTGTAGGCCTACCTAAAATGACTCTTCTCCAAAGAATGATTAGCTTAATTAAAATGAGTATTAGGTAAGAGTACTTTTTAAATTACAATAACCCACAAATATCTAACAGTTCTTTATGACCCACGTGTAGAACTAACAAGTGAACTGAATCAGGATATGCATTCTGCCATAGCACTTTTATTGAATGACACTTGTAAAGAGAACTTTTTATGTTAGCAAGTAGTCCTGAGAAAAATCAGGTGACACAATGAAACCAAAGAGAATAGGAAAAGGTAATGCAATGTCAGTACTTAGAAAACAAAGACCTAAATGAATTACAATGTGTCCTATAACCAGAATAAGTTGTTATAAATCCCATCCAGAAATTAAAGAAAATGACACTTAAAACTTTCATTAAGTGCATATCAGTGCAAAGGGTCCCATTCTAATGAACTAAACTGAAGTGTACTATGCAATAAAGTGTGGGCAAATGCATAATACCAATGAAATGAAACAGAAGGAATCAGTGAACTGTTGGAATCTTACATCATCTGGTAGCATATTTTGTCACATCCTTGAGAAGGCCTACGAAACATGCTTCTTATAGAGATGCAATCACTACATTTTGTGTTGGTCAGTTCTATATCATACAAATAATTTAATGTTCAACTATCTAATCATTTAAGAAGCAGACATATACTCCTGCTATCTTTATTTTACAGATTTGGTAAATCTTAACTATAGAAGGCTTAATCAAGTGCTGGAACTAGGCTTTTAATACAGACAGTTAACTCTAAAGGCTATGTACTCTTCTTTCTAATCTTGCAAGAAAGCAATATAAATTTATAAAAAGATTATGAAAAATGCTAACATGTGAGATCATGAAAGTGAGGTATGTCAATGATATAGATACAATATTTAGTATCATAAAAATCTCAAAAGAACCATATACAAAACTTCTTTAATTTTTGTATGGGGAAGTATAAATTAACAAAAACTTTGGGATTTTTACAAACCTTATTACTCAACCACACCAAACTGCAACCATCTAAGACACAAACACAATCAAAGAGCATACTATTCCAGTCAGATAATGAGTATTACAAATATCCACATGTTAAACATATATATAACTCAATTTCACACATCCTGATGTAGCATGTCAACAGAGTATTTTTCAGTTCCATATTATGCTCATTCCTGTTTTAAACTGCACAAAAATTTTTTTTCTTCTCTATTCTCAAATATACAATTGGGCCTACTAGGCAGCCAGGATTTTGTTGGTGTATGAATTTGGTGTAATACAAAGGAGTTATAGACATATAAAGAATGCTTTGAGGGACCCCTGAGTGGCTCAGCTGGTAAAGCATCAGACTTAGCTCAGGTCACAACCTCGCGGTTTGTGGGTTTGATCCCCGTGTCGGGCTCTGTGCTGACAGCTCAGAGCCTGGAGCTGTTTTCAAATTATGTGTCTCCCTCTCTCTCTGCCCCTCCCCCGCTCATGCTCTGTCTCTCTCTCTCTCTCTCTAAGGTAAATAAACATTAAAAAAATAAAAAATAAAAAGAATGCTTTGTGTTCCAGCACACACAGATTTTAATAAAACTCTTAAAGGACAAGTAACAAGGAATTGATCTTTAAAGTACCAAGGAGTGAGCCAAGCCTCTCGTATAGTAAATATCAAAAGTTTTCTGATGGAACATAGAAAAATTTATCGTAATATACTTCAATAGTTTCAAATTCTGTGAACCAATGTGAACTCATTCAGTAAAGTGCTGGTCATTATTTTCAACAAATTAAAAATATTAATTCAGGGTCATTAAAAACAAGTGTAATGTGCTATTCCAAAACAGACATGGGCAAAATTAACAGAGGAATTATTAATCAAGTTTTCTTGAAAAGGCAACATAAGTGGCAGCATGAGGAATTTAAAATTTTAAAATGAGTTGGGTATATATCTAAAAGTGTAGTAACCAATGTAGGATAAAAGGAGACAGAGCTCCCAGATATGGAAAAAAATGAAACCAACTTAAAAAGGATGACCAGGAACATAAGCACTTAGCAATGGGCCTTGAAAAACTGACTTAAAAAATTTAGTGTGTATAAGATTTGGAAGTCTGAGTGCATTTATAAGTATGTAATTTATACACAAATTCACTTGCACTTTCTGGTCCTTGTAAAAACAAGTATGTTTTCATTTTTTAGGTAATTAACATTAGAGGACAAAATAAAAACCAGGAAAGGGAAGCCTACACTGATTTTAGTTAATTTTAGTTTAGAATACATACCTCTAGCATATAGTCGAATGTTATTCATGTAAGTTGCAAGGTTTTCTGCTACCAAAGTAACTAAGGCATGATTGTGCTGAAGCTGGTTGATTAAATCATGACGATAAAATACATGGGGACTTCGCTGAGTTTGACTAAAACAAGAAGTAATTAATTAGTATTACTAATTACTGTAATTAGTAATTACAGTATAATTAGGCAAATGAACACTATTGTAACTAACAGTTTACACAGATTAAATTCTAGCTGCTAATTCAGAAATTTAAAAAGTTTTATATTCATAATAAAATTTGGCTCAATATCCTCTGGTGAATAGCAAATATCAAGCATTTTAAAGAGAAAAAACCAACACCTCAAAACATATTTATTCTAATATTCATACCTTACATGAAAAATCATCTATTAATGTTCTTCAACTTTACCCAGATTAATTGTACAGAAGTATCAAAACACAACTGGTTACATGGGCAAGTATATTAGCCATTAAAAGTTCATTCTGGAACACTCAATTCACAGCCAATTAGGTCCATGAACATAACCAGAAGGATCCCTAGTTCCCTTTCTATTTTGCCATCTTCAGTGAAACCACCCAATCCTCACATCAGTGTTAATCCAGTGGTGATTAAATCACCTGCTCTTGAAAACTATGTGTAATACTGCATGCATAAATAAGCAATCAGAAAATGGTTGCGTTTGATAAAAGACAAGTATAGTGAATCAAACAAAGCAAAACATGCCCTTTGTAAATAAATGTAAATAAATATTATCAATAGATTAGATTATTTCAGGAATTACCCTAGTATTTTTCACCAGGGACTTTCCTAATTTCATGTTAATTTTCCCAGATTTAGAAAAAAAAAACAACTTGAAAAATAAAAGCAAAAAGTGGCATTATGCAATTCAGTTTGAAGAGGAATCTTGTTGGTATACACAATTATATAAATCTAGAGCTGTAAAAAACATCTTGGCAATCATGTATCTATCTTATAAGAAAACTACTTCTAAACAGTTATCCCTGATTACTGATAGACAAAACTAGAGCTCACTTCAGAAATCCCAATGTGTTGTAAACACTGTTTACCTAAGCCTTTTTTCCATGTTCTATTTTCTCTGTATGTCATTATTTCCAAATACATTACAAGAAAATAAAAGGTAAATTATTCCCATAACCACAATTTAGCATCAAGACCAAACAAATAAAATTAGCTGTTTAAGAAAATTCTAGCTAAGACAAATTAAGAGTAAAAAATGTCCTTAAACACAACCTTGTTATCTTTCATAATTTAAATCACTTATTCTTATCTTAAAACCCATAAAAATGGTAAAACAGATTGAAGAGTGAGATGAATACAACCCATGCCAAAATGTGTGGTAGATCTGCTAGAAGTCTTAGACAATTCTGAACTATGACACGAAAGCAACATCTTGACTGATACTTAAATGCAATATGACACTGCACAAATTAACTTAAATTCTGTGTCATAAAACATATAGGAAATGAATAAAATCAAGGTTACTCATTTTGTTCCAAACCCTCCTCTTGTTTTCTCACTCTAGTTTTCTTTAACATTTACTTTTATTTGTATGCTGTCTTCACCATAGTATGTATGTGAAAATTAGATACTTTTCTGTATTAAAAATCTTACCTCAAATTTTGAGGTGCTTCACCAAATAAACTACAAATTTCTCTTATTTGTTTCAATGCAGGAATTACCCACTTGTCATTTGTACGAAGTTCTTCTATAAAGCGATCTATCCACTGGATCTTCTGTGTGTCTCGATCCTTAAATACACATACAAAAAATTAATGGTTACATGACAAGTATTCAATATAATTCTATCTTCAAATTATTTTGAGAATTACAAAGCAGAAAACCTTTTAATTATTCTCCATTTCTGTGACATCTTATAAGTTTTTCTGACTGCATGACATGCTGTAAAGTGTATTTGTGAATTTAAGTGGTTCCACTTTGAATTATTTAAACAATAAGGTAAGCCTCGTTTGTAAATATCATGCTTTCATTATTATTCCTTAGGAAAATTATTTCTACATGTGATATTCCTGGGCTGAGTTCTATGCACATTTTCAAGGCTTTAAAAATATTTATATGTGAGGGGTGTCTGGGTGGCTCAGTTGGTCAAGTGTACAACTCTTGACTTTGAGTCAGGTCATGTACCATCTCATGGTTTGTGGGATTGAACCGTGTGTTGGGCCCTGCAGTGACAGCGTGGAGCCTATTTGGGATTCCCATCCACCACCCTCTCTACCCCCCACCCCCATTCATGCAATGCTCTCTCTCTGAAAATAAATAAATGGAAACAAAGTGGATACGTGAATACTAAAAATGTCAGGACTCTTAAAAAATGCTTTCAGTTGACAGGGCAAAGAATAATTAATTATTTCTTTGTGAGGATCAAGTACAATATAACACTGTCATTTAGTCAAATAACTGAACTAGGTTTTTCCCTCCCCTTTGATAAATCTGAAACTTCTACAGATTACTTCTACAGATTACTACAGATCCAATGTATTACTGCAACTACAATTAAAAAAAAAAAAACCTCAATGTTTTTAATCTACTTGTAAAGGACAATAGTTGGATAAATTTTAATCTGTGTCTTCTTCAGAACTAAAAATCAGTTTTATATGGACATTTGCAACTAACTGGTCCATCATCATTTGTTTAACCCAGGTGAAGCTACTCTCCTCTGAATTTATTCACTGGGCTCTCTCTCTATGTATGTATGATGGTACTTTTTTGATTCAGGTAATCAGTACAGCTAATACTTCTAAGCCTTCACAATTACATACTTCCCAAAACCTAAAAGTCAAACTAATAACCCTGCCCAGTCCTTTTTTTTTTTTTTTTTAAATCCTTAACCAACCTATTAGAAGTATGGGAAGGCACTGATAAAAATCTGGAAACATGTTTAAGAATATAAATAATATTCATATAAAAATATACACTCCTAATCAGTAAGCATAAATAGAATTTAAATACAGGGAAGATGTTGTGATTTACTTGTAAACAAAGGTCTATTTAGGAAATTCTGTTAGTTTTATTAACTTCTATTAAGCAAAACAATCTAAGTATCCTTTCTAGCTTATGATACTTTATGATTCTATTTTATCTTCATATACTCAACTACAGTACTACTGTAATGCCTTGTTTTACCCAGGCAAATCTTTTTTTGTGAAGAAGTAAAAATGCTTAGTAAATGATATGAAAAATGTGGGAAAAAACAAAGAAATGCCAACTTTTCAAGATTACTTTAAAAACAAAAATAATGGAATTATCCTACACCTAAGTCATCCTAATAGTGAAGGACAAAACGTAAGAAAAAATGAGTTAAGGAAGCACTCTCATACCTGGGAACAACTATAATCTAGTATTTTTATGTGGGCACTGAGGGCTAAGTCCATGATGTCTACAGGCACATCATCACTATGGGCCAGATTCCAAAGAAGGTTCAAAACTTTGTGGGCCATCACACCATCTTTATCATCCTCTGCAAGACGACGAATCAGCTCCAGTAGCTTTTCACGCTGCTTTTTACTTGCATTTGTCCAACTTGCCTAAAAGAAAATTTAAATTTTGTAAACATCACAATTTATACATTTATATTAAGTCATCACTGTTTTAATTTCATGGCTTTCAATAAACTAGATTCAATTCATCACAGCCAGATATACAAATGAACAGCTTGGCTTAACAGAGTACTTAATAAACCATGTCTCATTTGAGAAAACAAACAGTATTCATGGGATAGAATAATCTAAACTCAAGGAAAAAAATGTTTACAAATAACTCTACTGACTTTAAAATCAGTTACAAAATATACCAAGAAATCCGAAAATTCAAAAATGAAACAAACAATTTAAAAATCGGCAAATGACTTCAATAGATGTTTTTCCTTTCCTTCTTCCCTCCCTCCCTTTCTTTTTGAGAGGGAGTCACAGGGAGTGTATGTGCGCATTCAAGTAGGGTAGAGGGACAGAGAAAGGTACAGCAAGAAATTAGCAGGTTCCGACCTGGACTCTGAGATCTTGAGCAGAGCTGAAAACCTAGACTCTTGAGATCCTACCTGAGCTGAAATCAAAGGCTCAACAGACAGAGCTAAACAGACATTTTTCTAAAGATACACAAATTATCCAACAGCACATGGAAAGATGCTCAACATCATTGATTATTAGGGAAATGCAAACCAAAATTACAATGAAACAATTAACTCCCATTCTTTAGCATGGCTATTATGAAACACACAGATAATATTAAGTGTTTGGTGAATATGTAGAAAAATTTAAACTTGTGCACTGTTTATGGGAAACTTGTGCACTGTTTCCTTAAGGGAAAAACTGGTGCAGCCACTATGCACAACAGTACAGCAGCTCCTCAAAAAAATAAACGTAACATTACTACATCATCCAGCAATTCTATTTGTAGGTATATGTAAGTATATATACCCAAAGCAAGCTACAACAGTCTCAAAGAGCTATCTGTACACTCATGTTCAAGGCAGCATTTTTATTCACAATAGCTAAAATATGGAAGCAACCCAAATGTCTATCAATGAAAAATTGGAGAAACAAAATGTGGCCTATCCTTACAGTAAAATATTACTCAATTAAAAAGAAAGGAAATTCTGAAACATGTTATAATATGGATGAAAGTTGAGAACAGAATAGCAGTGAAATGCCAGTCACTAGAAGATAATACTGTATGATTTCACTTATATGAGATAACAGAGCAACCAAAATCATATAGATGGAAAGTAGAATGGTGGCTGCCAGGGGTCTGTAAGACTGGGAATGAGCAACATTGTTTAATGGGTATAGAACATGACCTTTGTAAGAAGAAAAGAGCTACAGAGATGACTGCTGGTAATGGTTGCACAACATCATTAACATATTTAATATCAACGAACCACACACTTAAAAATGGTTTAAGATGGTAGGGGCACCTGGGGTGGCTTAGTCGGTTAAGCATCCAACTCTTGGCTCAGGTCAGGTTGTGAGACTGGGCCCCATGTCAGGCTCTGTGTTCAGTGTGAAGCCTGCTTAAGATTCTCTCTATCCCTCTGCCCCTCCCATGCTATGATTTGGGGCACACATGCACTCTCTAAAAAAAAAAAAGGTTAAGAGGCTAAATTTTATGCCATGTGTATTTTATCACAATAAAAAAAATGGGGGGAAAACATTATAAATGAAGAGAGCAGGCCATCAACTAATGTATTTTGAACAATTTTTAAAACAAAAAGCAAAAGGGCAGAGAAAAAATTTTGACAAATTCTAAATTATTGGCTACAAATTTTTTAAATCTGCAATGTTAAACTTAGAAGGAAATAAAATGCTCATTAAAAAAACGCAAAAGTAAAATCGTTCTGTTTGAGAAGATTGATATTTATTCTCCCAATACAGAGTAAGTAAACTCTGGATGTTATACATAAACAGATGAAAACTAAAAATAGAAGAGAGAGGAAAGCAGAACTGCTAGGGACTTCAAAATTCCCTAGATTCTGTTTTAAAATTTTATATATCCCACACTTGAAGTTGAGGATCCAGCAATCTGGAAGCACTAACAGGCACAAAGAAAGCACCTCAAAAGGCCAACTAAGTAGTCAAAGAACCAGGAAAAGGACATGCTAGCAAGACAAAAACTTACAACAACTGACCTATTCCAAACAAAAACATAAACAACTGTGTAGAATAAATTATGGCTTATATGAACCCAAACCAAATAATTGAGTGGGAAGCCTGCACTTCAGTAAGCTGTAATAAAGCATCCCAATACCTTACTGAAGTGATACAGAAAGATCAAGTAGGGAGCTGGGATTTCAATCACCTGCCAAGCGTAGTGAGGAGCCACTGCTTTTTTTTTTTCTTTTTAAAGCAGCCACTACTTAAGTGGTGCTAGAGGATGACTGATAGAAAATCAGAACTTTACTATGCCAATCAGTAATAAAGCCCCCATCCCCAGGGGTCAGAATGAAAAACATGAAGTGTCAGAACTTCCTTCCTACCCAACAGTCAATAATGCCCCAGTTTGGGAGACAGAAAGGCTTAAAGCAGAAACTATGGTTCCATTTGGAGCAGGCAATAAAAAAGGAGCATTGTTTCATTCCATGAGAAGCGTACCAGGCAAAACCGGCTAAAACAGAAGATTTATTTATTTTGAGAAAGAGTGTGAACAGCGGAGCGGCAAAGCAAAAGCAAGTCCCAAGTAGGCTCTGTGCTGTTAGCACGAGGCCCAATTCAGGGCTTGATCTCATGAACTGTGAGATTATGACCTGTGCCAAAGTTCAACTCTTAACCAACTGAGCCACCCAGGTACCCTTTTGTCTTTTAATCTGTAAAACAGTTTGTTTTTTAAGAAATCTCTACATTCCAAATTATAATTTATAAATTTATAAATTCCAATTTATAATCCCATTAACAAGAATCTCATGCTCTATTGACTGAGAGAGCCAGGTGCCCCTAAACCAGAAGATTTAAATAATCCCAAGACTTAAACATAATAAAACATCCAAGTTTCAAGTGGAAACCTACTCAAATTAAGAAAAAAATGAAAACCAGAAGAGAACAAACAATATGATAAATAAAAGAGAAAGCTTAAACCTTAATGTTTCAAAAATCACATTAAGTGTAAATGGTTTAGCTACCCCAGTTATAAAGCAGAGCTTATGGAAATTATATATTAAGATATAAAGTAGGCAGGGTGAAAGCAAAAAGATATACAAATACTAAAGATGAGAAAGACAGGCCATAGTAGTAATAGCTAAAACAGATTTCAGAATGTATGAAACATTTATTGAGTGTCAGTCCACCAATAAAACACAGCAATCCTAAATGTGTATGATCAAGTATGTATACACTATAAAAACTGTAAAGCAAAATCTGACAGAATTCAAAGGTGAAACAGGAAAATCCGTAACATACGCAGACATCAACATCCATCTTTATTTAACAACATTTTTTTTAATGTTTTTATTTATTTTTTTTTATTTTTGAGAGGGAGAGACAAAGTGTGAGCAGGGGGAAGGACAGAGAGAGGGAGACACAGAATCCGAAGCAGGCTCCAGGCTCTGAGCTGTCAGCACAGGTTGAGACCCTAAATTGTGACATTGTGAGGTGAGCCCAACTTGGATGCTCAACCAACTGAGCCACCCAGGTGTTCCACAACATCCATCTTTAAACAAGTGATAGAACTAGAGACAAATCAGAAAAATTCTGAAATCAACAAAACCATCAACAGGATTTAACTGACATTTATAGTACCATTCGCCATCAGCAGCAGAATACACCCTTTTCAAAATACCCACAGAAAAATCCCAAGATAATAAATGCACAATGGAGTATTACTCAGCCATAAAAATGAAATTTTACCATTTGCAACAACACAGATGAAGCTAGAAAATAGAATGTTAAGCAAAATCTGAGAAAGACAGTGTCATATGATTTCACTCATATATGGAATTTAAGAAACAAATGAGCAAAGGAAAAAAAATAAGGAGGGGGGTAGGGACAAACTAAGAAATAGATTCTAGAGAACAAAAAGATGGTCAACAGAGGGGAGATGGGTGGAGGAAAGGAGAAAATAGGTGAAAGGGATTAACGAGTACACTTGTGATGATCACTGGGTATTGTGTGCAAGAGATGAATCACTATACTGTACATCTGAAACCAATACAACAATGAATGTTAACTGTACTTGAATTAAATAAAAAACAATAAAAAATACATACACATACATAGATATATATATATACACACACACACACACCAGGATAGACCATTTTCTGGCCCATAAGACAAACATCAGCAAAGTGATGGGATGGAAATCAAACTGAGTATTTTTCCAACCACAACAGAAACAAGCCTAACTATAACCCAGTAACAAAAGATGACAGAAAATTTACTAGTACTTGGAAACTAAACAACATAGTTTTATGTTGTTGAAGAGACCCTAGAGATTAAAAATATAATCAACTAAATGTAAATAAAACCACATGTTCCAAAGTTTACGTAAGTATATATAACAATAAATGTCAAAAGGGAAATGCATAGCACTAAATGCACAATCAGAAAACAGGGAAAGCTCAAATGAGTAATTCAAAGTATTTTTTAAAAATATTAAAAAAAAATTTTTTTTAATATTTATTTATTTTTTTGAGAGAAAGAAAGAGCTCAACAGCAGAGGGAGGGGCAAAGTGGGAGACACAGAATTTGAAACAGGCTCCAGGCTGTGAGCTGCCAACATAGAGTGAGATGGGGGACTCAAACTAATAGACCATGAGAGCATGACTTGAGCCAAAGCTGGATGCTCAAATGACTGAACCACCCAGGTACCTCTAAAACTATTTTAAGAAACCAGAAGAAGAGCAAAATAAAGCCTGAGACAAGAAGTAGGAAGGAAATAGAGAAGAAAGGAAAGAAGGAAAGAAACAAAGAAAGAAAACCTAATAGAACTGAAAACAGGAAAAAAAACAGAATTAATCAAATGAAGAATTGGTTCTTTTGAAAGATCAGTAATCTGACAAATTTCTAGCACAGCCAAAAAGGAAAAATATGAATGTGCA